CACGATAGATCACATTGTGGCACTTACAATGATGTATAATAAATTTTATATTTCTAATAAGATTTCTCTGATGAACAGGTTATTCAACATAAAGAAGATGGATGACAGTTCGGTAGCAAAACATCTAAACAATTCCAACATTATAACGAGCCAGTTGTGTTTTGTGGGGATCAAATTTGATGAAGAGGTAAAGACACTGTTAATTTTGTCTTCATTGTCAAACAACTATGATGGATTGGTGACTGTGGTGAGTAGCCCTTCAAAGAATATGAAATTAAACTTAGATGACATTGTGGGTTTAATGCTGAATGAATTTTTTTTACAGAAAGGTAACATATTGTGAATATTTAGGTTATGCGTTCAATGCTAAAAATATGAAAATAAATCTGGACATGAATACGCAAAGAGACAAATTGAAGTCCAAAAGACGAAAACCTAGGTCAAACAGAGAAAATAATAGAGTGTGTTGGAACTGTGGAATGAAAGGACATTTCAAGGACTGTAAAGCTCCAAGGAATGCTGGTGGTGGAGAACAGGAAAGAAATCTACAAATGTCTCCACAGGCGAAGTCCAAGGTGACTCCATGATTTTATCCCTAGTCAACACTAAATCATGAATAATAGATTCAAGTGTCTCTTTTCACACATGCCCCAACAAAGAGGTGTTCAAAAATTACACTCAAAATGATCTAGGGTATGTTTATTTATGAGACAAAAATGCCAGCAATATCGTGGAAAAGAGTGATGTGAATATCACGTTGTCAAATGGAACAATCTAAAAGCTTATTGAAGTTAGACATATTCCAAGTCTGAAGAGAAATCTGATCTCGGTGAGTCAGCTAACAAAGTTAAGGTTCGTGACAACTCACAGGTAATTCGTGGAACGGGACCAGAAGGGTAATGGTGATGGCTTAGAGGAATATTGAATGCACTCTACATTGAAATTTTTTCTCCTGTGATGAAGATGACAACCATGAAAGTTGTATCAAGTTTGATAGCCTAGGAAGATCTGCATCTAGAGCGAATGAATGTAAAGACGCCCTTCTTACATGGAGATCTGGAGAAGGAATTATACATAATACAACTACTGGGTTACGAGATTCCAAGGAATGAAGATTTGGTCTACAGGTAGAAGAGTTTTTATACCTTGAAGCAAGTTCCGAGATAGTGGTATATAAGGTTTGACAATTTCATGTCAAAAAATGAGTACATGAAATGCCAGATAAATCTCAGTTGCTTCATCAAAAACTTCAATAATTATTATATCTTACTCCTTTTATATGTGAATGACATGCTCATTACAAGGGCAAATATCAAAAAATCAGAGACTTAAAGGAGTAATTATCCAATGAGTTTGAGATGAAGGATGTAACTCCAACTAGAAAGATCATAGTGATGATATTCAGTAGGAACAGGAGTGTAGGTACACTGAAGTTATCTCATCATAATATTTTGAAATGATCCTATAGCGGTTCAACATAGGTAAGACAAAACAAGTTTGAACCCCCTTAGGTAGTCACTTCAAACTATCTAAGAAATTATTACCTAAGTCTGAAGCAGAGCAAGCACAGATGGGGAGAACTTTGTATGCTTCAGTAATTGAAATTTTGATTTATGATATGATTTGTATCAAACCAGATATTGCATATATAGTGAGAGTAGTCAGAATGTACATGACAATACAGACACATACATCATTGGGAGGCGGCGGTGAAATTGATTATCAAGTTTTTGAAGAGAACAACATGACACTTTGTCATAGAAGTGCAGAGATAAGTCTATATGGATTTGTAGATGCGGATCTGACAAGAAATTAAATCTTCACTTTAGAGAATATATGGTGAGTTGGGTTTCTAGGATGTAGAAGATTGTTACAATTTCAGCTACAGATGTGGAATACTTTGATATCACTGAGGCTAGCAATGAGATGATTTGATTTATAGGGCTTTATGACAGAACTGAGAAAGGAACAAGGGATTGAAAAACATTATAATGACAGTAAGAGTGTTATTCATCTTGCTAAGAACGTTATTTTTCATACCAGGATAAAACATATCCAACCGAGGTATCACTTTATTCATTATCTCCAAGAAGATGAACAATTATTTTTGGATAAGATACACACAACTCAGAATCCTGTGTACATGTTGATAAAGGTAGTGATTATCCAGAAACTAGAGCTATACTTGGCTTTAGTTTGAGTACAAAAATGTTGATACTAGAGGTGAGTCACACTACAGTACGAGTAAAGATGGTACAAATAGGGTTAGAGATATAAATGATAGGTGATGGGTGCTATCAGTCTGCAAGTGGGAGATTATTATGTAATGGAGCTTGAAGCACCCAAAAGCACTGCCACAAGAAGCATCCAGGAGCGCCTTTAGCATGGTGTAGCCACGCCTGATATGTGTGTAACTATGTCGGGCAGCGTGACTGTGTAAATGCATCACGATACTATAGCAGGGAACAGGGTAGGGATTTTGGTGGGAAGCTCCTGCGTTAGTCTCCAGAGTTGGGGAGTATAGTGTATGATCAATCATTTTAAAAGTGATGGGAATGTTGTAATCTATCGTTAAGTCAATCTTATTAGCGTCAACATTCCAAAGTACATCCTGAAATAGAGGCTTGTTGCCTTCGAGAGGAGGCGGTCTGAAAGGGTCACCCGTATCCATAACGGTGACATGCTAGATCGAAGGAATAGAGTGAATCTTTTCCGCCAAGTCGATTCCAGGAAATAAGAACCTCTATCCCTAAGATTTGAGACCCGAAATAACTGAGAAGTCAATATTTTGAAGTAGATGTGGATTTGCCACATTTTGATGGTTACTTGGATCTAGATGAGTTCATTAGGAAGCTTCAAACTATGGAACATTTCTTTGAGTACTAGGAAGTTCTACCAGACGGAATGATGAAACTAATCGCCAACAACTTAAAGGAGAGTGCATTATTTTGGTTGGAAAATTTAGCACATCTATGCTGGTGTGAGTGAAAAGACAAGATCACTATTAGATCTAAGATGAACTTAGAGATATGGCACCGGTATCTACCAGCTCACTACATACTGGATCTTCAAACCCCAATTTCAAAAATAAAGAGATCACATCATCGAACAATAACCACATCTTACAAGCAGAGTTCAATCCTAAGTTTTTACAACCAAAGTACCGCAAGGGGATCATCCAAGTTGACCTCGACTAAGGAGAAACTTATTCAGAGTAGAGAACAGGTGGAGTGAACCAATACTCTTAAATTCGTGCGTTAATGGTGGAACTGTAGGAAACAACAGTAAAATCTGTTGTTCTGGAGGCTACGCTTGCAAGCTCCGCTACACTTACTCTGTTCCGCTTCAACATATTTCCCTTATCTGGTATACGAGTCATATCTAACAGGAATGAATAGCAAGAAAGCACATCAAGAAAAAAGGTTAGACTACAATTTTTTAGAAAAATAAAATCCATAGTCGTAGCACATTTTATATCCTCCATCAAGGTATTTGAATGGCTAAGGTTTTACAATAGCTAAAAGTCATCAATCAAGTAAAAATACCAAAAATCCATTTTAAAGAAATGTAAAAAAATAGTTAAAATTATTTTTCAGCTTATTTAAATCTTGCATTCAAATATTTTAATGATGGAAAAAGATAAAAGAGAATGCCTATAGCCTTTTAAGAGATAATTGGCAACGTCACATGAATAATCTACATAATGTAAAGATGTAGCTATTTTGGCATATGCCAACAGTGCAGCTTGTGGTAGGCTTTGAAGCCATAAACAAAATGAGAGCCAATATGCATAATCCCAATTTTAAAAGTCCAAATAGAAAGGAAAGATTTTGTGGATGGAGAAATGTTGAGTCGCACATCATACACTCTAGAATGTAATATCAATTATCATGTTTGATCTCAATATGGAACCTACTTTTTTTAAAACTTAGGCATGGAAGCAATTCCAAATCAAAGAAACTGATAAGGACAAGTAATTCAATCTTCCGCACATAAACCAACTTATTCTAACTTTAAATATAACACACACCCAAGTAAATTGGACCCAAATTAGTGTTTTAAAAATTGGACCGAACATTAAATCAGAATAACAAAAAGTTCAACGATCAAATATTCAATTGGGGTAAACAAGAGGTTGAACTGGAAAATAAATTTAATTTGAATTAGATGGCACAATAATGATGCAATAATGATATTTTTATCAATTTAATAAATAATATTCAAAATCAGGACACTTAACCAAAAAAATATTTTGAATATGATAGTAAATCAAAATCTTAAGCAATGATATTTTGATTATTTCCACTATGCTCTGTATGCATTTGTGCAGTTATGTAAATGCTTGTAAAAATAATGTGAGCATAACCACCAAATCGGAATGTTAAATTAGAAAATATTTTGCCAACCTCTCTTCCAAGAACTATAAGATATTTAACTTCAAAGAATTTAAAAGTTTAAAATTTTGGGCATATAGTTTTGAGTAAGTTATTTAATAGTAATTTTATAGTTTATATCTGGTCAATTGGTAAAAAACAGAAGGCCACAAATTGATCAGTATTAGAACAAATTATATTATCAAAAAGCCAACCAGTTCACTAGTTTGCTATTTCAACCGTCATTTACGGCCACTTCTGATTGCATATTTTGAGACCAAACGAAATCGACTAAGGAGTACTTCACAGTTTAACTGATAAAACTTGTCTATCCAGTCCAATTTTTAAAATCACATCCAAATCTAAAAATTTTAACTTCAAATGGGGCTAAAACAAGAATAAATGCATAAGAATTTCAATTTATCCTCTTAATTTTGAGCTAGGTTATTTCTTCTATATTTTTATTCCATAACAGAAAGTTAACATTTTTCAAATAAGGTACTAAAAGTGCACATATTCTATATCTATCAATTTTATGTTGCAACTGACTGCAAATTCGTGTTTGTTATGAAAATAAGAACAACTAAGGCAACCATAATTTAATTTACAAATGTAAGAAGTGATTACCTTCTTTGCTCGTTTTACAGCCACAACCTGACCATCACCAAGAATACCCTTGTATACAGTTCCAAATCCACCTTCACCCAGCTTCATTGAAGGTGAAAAGTTTTGAGTGGCCTTGATGATCTGACTAATAGTAAGTTGCAATGATCCAATTCTATTTTGCTGTGGAGATAATGAAAAACGAGAAGGACTTTGTGGTACTTTATGTGGAGTAGTCAAATTTTTGTCAGATGAAGTGGATACATCTAAAGAAGAAACTGAATCCGCTGCAATAAGCCAATTCATTTGGTAAGAATAACACTAACAGAAAAATCTCACCAAATACAAAACATAGCATGAAAAATTAACCACTCTATTAATATCATCATAAGTTCAAATACTATTTTTTAAAATAATAAAGCATATCAAGTGCACTTTCCAATGTGTATAAGGTTTTCAAATCGAATGCTACTTGTTTTGCAATTGATAAAATAAAAACAATCATGTTCTTTTAAGGGAATATTTAGTTACAATGAACAAGAGCATATTTCGATTTCAACAACCTTCATATTGCAACTTTATATGTGAAAAGCTAGGAATATAATACATCGCAGCATACTCTAGAAATTTGAAATTTTGGTTTTCCTATTGAACTTACATGAAATTATTTCTTTGGAAAAAGCTTTTTGATCTATTGGTTCTTTCCTCCTTGCACGAAAGCAGGGACAGATTACAACACAACATAAAAGAAACATTCCTGGTACAGCCAGAACCATGCCTTTGGGTGGTATTTTTAACCTAACTTCTTTGACTTCTTCTTTTGACAGTTGCTTTCTGCTTAGTTGATCCAAGTGAGAGGAATCTGCCTGAGGCAGCACTAGAAGTTTTCTCCCTGCCATACGAAATCCTTCCCCTGCAATTACATATATCATAACTTGATTGGAAAAAAGAAAAGATCTCAAACACCAATCTCATTTAATGAACAAGAAAAATATTTTAAAAGAAATTCCATTTCAAGACTGTAGCTCGTATCTAACCTTTTCAGAAAACGAAACAAACAGATTTGGTCCTGTAAACAAACTTTTTCCAAACATAGAAAAGTACTTTAAACCCGCTCAAACTAAGCAAACACAATAACTCGTCATGAAAATACAATTTTAGCTAGATAACGATCGTGTAAGGAACTCATCACTATCAAGTATCAGAAATGGTTTATACAAGACAAGATGCTAGCTTATTTATTCTAACTTTGATACAATACAAGCTTTCTATGTCAATAGAAATTCAACAAAGTACTGCTTTAAAAACAACTAAGCGCAATCTTCAACTCCATCCTCCTTACACGACATCCGACAAACGTACTAAAAACTGCTAGCCCTTAGTCGCATATTCCATCATCTCTGTACGCGAACTTAAACGAAACACAATCATAACCCACACAAACTAAAAAACCAATAACTCCGCACGTAATACAGAAAAGTAAAATTACCAGAAACAGCATCACTGTCCAAGCCAGTAGCAAACTTCCCATAGCAGTACTTTCTACCAATATCATGCCATTCCTCTGCCCGAGAATCAAACTCCCAACAACCACTAGCAAAAAAAAAGGCCAACATCTCGCACATCAAAACCCGATCATCAATCCGCTCCCCGTTTCGAAAAAACCTATACGAATCCTGCAATCTTAGATACGCAACGCGATCGAAGCTGCAGTTTCTCAAAACATCTCTAACGGATTCCCCAACCGCAGCCTCTACGAACGGCGACGCCACAAGTATCAAGATAGCAAGGATCGAAGCCATCACTGCAGGATTCGAGCACAATAAAAACTAGAAAGGAATCATATCTCGAGCTCAAATTGGAGCGCACGAGCTCTCAGAAGAAGGAAATCACCAATCGGCGGAGGCGTGGAGACAGGACGACTGCGGACGAGATGGAAGAGCAGGGACGGGAGACCAACAAGGTGCTGGAATGGTAGCCAATAACCGGGAAACTGGCGGCTTACCGGTACGGACAGAGGAAGCTAAATATTAAAATATATTACATAATATAGAAAATATAAATGCGTAAAAAAAATAATAGACTAATAGTAACTCCTCGTAAACATAAAAATAAAATAAAATTATGAATGATTTGAATGAGACATATTCTTCGTGAAATCAAAAGATTCAAAATGATATTCATGATTTCTAATAAAAATATGACATGATATAAAAAATAATATTTTAATCAGATGGTCGGCTCGACCGCCGGTTCCAGCAAGTTTTTTCTAGTTCGATGCGGAGCTAATTTTCAGCTCAACCATGATTATACTATGGTAAGTGTGGTTCATACCACATACAAGAACATGAGCAGTGCACGAAAAAAAAGCCCACCAAAGACACCAAAAATATGGAAGGCACCAGGGAGTTTATTAATCAGTTGATCCATGAGTTGAAGGATCGGATGTTGGATGTTGTCATGACTTGGCATGGGGTTTGGAGTTAACCAAGGCAGGTACAGATGACCAGAGAATGTGAATTTTTTTTTTTTATTCGTCTACAAGTTAACAGATGAAAGAGTCACTATAAATTAAATTGAAGTGGTACAATTAAAATTACCTCGTTGATGGTTGTCCGCGTGTTAATATTTTTTTGTTCTATCGCTCATCTTTTAATAATTTAATTAAACCTTAAAAGTTAGTTAAAACAACTAAGAACTAAACGAGCAAGTGTATATTTATACTCCTAAACTACAGTAATAAAATGAAAAGAAAGAATAATATGCATGACAATTAAGTTTCTTTATAAATAAATATAGACATTTGACATATTATTTAAAAGGGTTTATATCGTTATCATATCAATATTATTTCATATTTATACAACCATCACATGAGAAATATTCTAAAAATCATGTCAATTAAGATACATCAATATCAATATATTTTTCCATTTACATGCACAGGTGCATTAGTGTTCCTTCATTAGTACAATCAAAGGGTGTTTCATCACAATCAAGTATGCACATGCAAGCATACTATAAATCATTTTGTTACATTCTAAACATCATCCAATATCTTTCTTTTAGAATATGTATATGTAGTACATAAATGTAACTATGCAAATCATTCACATTCATTTTTAGATGATCAAATGATGAAACATAAAACTAAAATAAAATTATGAATGATTTAATGTTTGACATATACTTCGTGAAATCAAAAGATTCAAATTAATATTCATAATTTTTAATAAAAATGTGGCATGATATAAAAAATTATATTTTAATCAGATGGTCGGCTCGACCGCCGGTTCCAGCAAGTTTTTTCTAGTTCGATGCGGAGCTAATTTTCAGCCCAACCATGATTATACTATGGTAAGTGTGGTTCATACCACATACAAGAACATGAGCAGTGCACGAAAAAAAAGCCCACCAAAGACACCAAAAATATGGAAGGCACCAGGGAGTTTATTAATCAGTTGATCCATGAGTTGAAGGATCGGATGTTGGATGTTGTCATGACTTGGCATGGGGTTTGGAGTTAACCAAGGCAGGTACAGATGACCAGAGAATGTGAATTTTTTTTTTTTATTCGTCTACAAGATGAAAGAGTCACTATAGATTAAATTGAAGTGGTACAATTAAAATTACTTTGTTGATGGTTGTCCGCGTGTTATATAAATATTTTTTTTGTTTTATCGCTCATCTTTTAATAATTTAATTAAACCTTAAAAGTTAGTTAAAACAACTAAGAACTAAACGAGCAAGTGTATATTTATACTCCTAAACTACAGTAATTTAAATTATAGTAATAAAATGAAAATAAAGAATAATATGCATGACAATTAAGCTTCTTTATAAATAAATATAGACATTTGACATACTATTTAAAGGGGTTTATATCGTTACCATATTAATATTATTTCATATTTATACAACCTTCACATGAGAAATCGTCTAAAAATCATGTTAATTAAGATACATCAATATCAATGTCATTTTCCATTTACATGCACAGGTGTATTAGTTTTCCTCCATTAGTACAATCAAAGGATGCTTCATCACAATCAAGTATGCACATGCAAGCATACAATAAATCATTTTGTTACATTATGAAATATCATCCAATATCTTTATTTTAGAATATGTATATGTAATACATAAATGTAACTATGCAAATCATTCACATTCATTTTTAGATGATCAAATTAAAAGATGAGACAGAATAATCATGTTATAATTGCAATAACAAGATAACTTGATTAATGTGATTGATTTAGAAGAAACGCAAACTATTACCATAATTTAGCAATAAAAATATTTATCTCGATTACTGATGATTTTAAATTTTCTCTTCATTTATCTCCAATGTGAAACCTAAAGTCAAGTGCATAAAAATCATTACTAATTTATTATATTTTAATCTTATTATAAGAAAATAATTTGTCTTAATTTGACCCTTCGAAATATCATATTATTTTATTTTTATTATATTGCTCGTTATTTTCGTTTAATTAATATTACTATTTTCAAACAATTTAAGCTTAATAAAATATTGATGATAAAGTTAGTTTAATTTTCTAGTTACTTATGCAATTTATATTTTTGTGGTAGTCATATTTACATTTATTTTGCATAACAATTCATTATTAAACAAACAAATGAACTAAAATAAAATCAATATTACTATAAATTTTTTGTAGCTTAAAACCCAATTTATTTAAACATTATTATTAATAACTAATAATTAACGCTTCTCTTTCGGGTTGTATTGCTCGACTCCATAAAACTTTTTCAATAGAACTCCAAGTACACGCACTTCCTCTCCTTCTCTTCTTCGTTGGAAGGCAAAGACACAATTGAAGCTCTTCCTTCATCTTCCTCTTCAACTCAACTCGCCTCAACACTACACGCGAGATCTCCAACCTCTCCTCAGCTCAGCATCACTTCGCTCGATACTACGAAAAAAAATTACATCAGGACTCCACATGTAAAGCTGCTTACGAAGCCCGATCTCGAGCTGACATGAAGAAGGTCGGGACCCACCTACATAAAAAATGAAAAAATGAAAGCATGAGACCCGACCTGACCGATGTGTTACTTACCCTTGTTGATGCATTATAGGAATATTTCATCGTGTTATGTATATTGCTCCGTGTTACAGAGTCTTGCCCATGCTTTATAAGAAAATATTTTCTGCGTTATTTCTTATTATCACCGTGTTATAGGAATATTCCCTCGTGTTATTCTGAATATTTTTGCATTATTCATGTGTTATTGATATGTTATTGAGGTGATTTTGAGATGTTATTATTCTTTAAACAATAATGCCAACTCAAAATCACCTCCATAATACATGAATAACACATCAATAGAAGTTTTTCATCTTGTCGTTTGATTGTATCAACTCAATAATACATCAAGAGCATATGAATAACATATCAATAATATATTAAAAATAGAGACTGAGGTGATTTTGAGATATTATTATTCTTGAAACAATAATACCAACTCAAAATCATCTCCATAATACATGAATATCACATCAGTAGAAATTTTCATCTTGTCATTGGATTGTATCACCTCAATAACACATGAATGACACTTCAATAACACATTTAAAACAACGATTAAGGTGATTTTGAGATGTTATTGTTTTTTAAACAATAATTATAACTCAAATCACTTCCAAAACATATTAATAGCACATTAGTAAAAGTTTTTATCTTGTCATTTGGTTGAATCGGCTCAATAACACGCCAATAACACCTGAATAACGGAGAAAATATTCAGAATAACGTGAGGGAATATTCATGTGCTATGGAATATTTCTATAATGCATCGGTCAGGTCGGGTTGCAGTTTTCATTCTTTTTTTTATCTTTTATGAAGGTGGGTCATGACCTTCCACGTGACAGCTCGAGATTGGACTCTGCATGCAGAGTTCTGATGTAATATTTTTTTTTCCTTAACGAGGTCGATGGAAAAAAAATATTACATCAGGACTCGCATGCAAAGTTGCTTGCGGAGTCCATTCTCAAGCTAACATCTGAAAGGTCGGGGCTCACCTATATAAAAAATCAAAAAAAATGAAAATGTGCGACCCGACAAACCGTTGCGTTACTTACCATTATCAATGCATTATAGGAATATTTCATCGCCTTATGTATATTCCTCCGCGTTACAGAGCCTTTCCCATGTGTTATAAGAAAATATTTTTCTCGTTATTTATTCTGTCGTCGTGTTATATGAATATTCCCTCGCGTTATTATGAATATTTTTCACGTTATTCATGTATTATTGGTATGTTATTCAAGTGATTTTGAGATGTTATTATTGTTTAAACAACAATAACAACTCAAGATAATCTCCATAACACATGAATAACACATCAGTAGAAGTTTTCATCTTGTCATTAAATTGCATCATCTCAATAACACATGAATAACACACCAATAACACATTAAACATAGTGACTGAGGTGATTTTGAGATGTTATTATTCTTGAAACAATAATACCAACTCAAAATCACCTCAATAACACATGAATCTCACATCAGTAGAATTTTTATTTTGTCATTGGATTGTATCATCTCAATAACATATCAATAACATATGAATAACACATCAATAACACATTAAAAATAGTGACTAAGGTGATTTTGAGATATTATTGTTCTTTAAACAACAATTTTAACTTAAAACTACTTTCATAACACATTAATAACACATCAGTAAAAGTTTTTTATCTTGTCATTTGGTTGAATCGCTTAAATAACACACCAATAACAAATGAATAACGCAGAAAATATTCAGAATAACGCGAACGAATATTTCGAAGTCATGGAATATTCCTATAGCGCATCGATCGAGTTAGGTCGCACATTTTCATTCTTTTTTCATCTTTTATGTAGGCAGACCCCAACCTTCCACGTGTCAGCTCGAGATTGGACTCCTCAAGCAACTTTGCATACGGAGTCCTGATGTAATATATTTTCTGATACTAGAAGTGAGTAAAACTCCTCTCCCTTCGATTTCCGTCTCCTCATTTCTTATAACCCCTCTATTCAGCTTCCTCACTCTCTCGCTTCGGTTTCCGGCTCCTCTCCTCATTTTTTTGTCTTTTTGTTTCCTTTTCCATTTTTTTTAATAGAACCATTACAAATGCTATTCAAGAGGCATTAGCTCGAGGAAGGGAGAAGCATCTCCAAGAGGAAAAGTTGACAACAAGCAGTTGAAGGGCACCCTTAACCCTGGATAGAAAAGGAGATTCATAGTACTTTGAAAACGTTGGGTCAGTGCCGATAGACAGTCATCGATTTTGGTGTACTAAAGCACCCCACCAGCCAGTAAATACATTCTCTATGTGAATCTCTGAGATCAATCCCCCAGCGAGGCTTCAAATCTCTACATTATAATACTACAAGCGTCAAACTGATCCAATTAACCACATAACTTCCTTTGAATTGACAGTATGCTTACTGAAGATAACTGATGCACTGAAGTGTCAATCTTTCTGCACCACGCTGAGGGAGTTGGTCCTCATGTGGTTCACTGATTTACCACAAGGACTGATTGCCTCATTCATCAACTTCAGGCGGTTGTTCATGGAGTAGATTACTAATGATAAGAAATCGCAGAAGAATTGAAAGGACTTTATGCAAATCAGTCAAGGGGAGAATGAGTCTCCACTCATTTATTACCCGCTTCCAGAAGGATATGCTTGAAGTACGAGACCTGAAGCTGGCAGTGGCTCTTGCTGCCCTGGGTCAGTGGCTAAAAGAGGGAATGTTTCAGTATGCTTTGAACTTATATTGACTGAAGACCTTGGTCAAGTTTTTGGAGAGGGCCAATAAGCACATATTAGTCAAAGAGTATAACTCCATATATGCTTCATCTAAAGGAGAGCCTTCCACCCATTGCCCGCAAAAGAGAGCTCCTCAAAGAGATAGGTGGACGTCGGGAGATGACTCACATCCTTATGCCCATCCATGTTATGAAGAAAATTGGCTGCCTTGGAAACAGATCACACAAATGAGGAGGCCAAACTCGCTAACTTGACTAGCAACTGACTCTCTATAACAAGTGCTCGTTGCCTAACCACAAACTACCAAAAATGATTATTGAGAGTTTTGATGACGCATTTAGTGTAGGCCATCTAGAATAAGGAGTATTTTAAGAAAATACCACCAATAAAGATCATCGCTTACCTCTGGGATCCTAAGAAGTACTATAAGTACCACCAAAACTATGATCATGATACAGATGAATGTTGAGACCTCGAGAGCATGGTTGATGAGTTGATTAGAGTGAAAAAGCTCAAGGAGTTTGTAGTTTTAAGAGTAATACCGAGAGGAAAGATAAGGCGTCAGTGGAAGAGATCTTGAATGAACATGTTCGAGCCTATGCCATCCACATCACTGGCATAGTTCCTATCATGTTCGAAGTGGAGGAGATTCATCACGTCGAGCCAGTCCAAAGAGGCTTAGGTCAAGCTAATTATGTCAAGCACCATAGCACTCATATGCAACATGCATCACCCCATCCTTTTTATCACTATAGACCTGCCTCGCAAGGGGAATCCATATGACCATGCCATCATCATCACGACACTATTCAAAAACTAACAAAGAGAAAACATTCTTATCTACATTGGCAATTCAGTGAATATCTTATTTAAAACATTGTTTGATAAGATGGACATCGGAAATTACTGACTTACTGTTGCAGCCACCCCACTCTATGGACTTTGAGGAGAAAGGAAGTCTTGAGAACTATCACCCTGTCAGATACATGAGGGAAAGTGACAAGAAGTTTACAGACATGGAGGATTTCCTAGTAGTCATCTTGCTACCAACTTACAATGCCATCTCCGACTGGCATCTTTTCAATAACTTCAAGGTTGTCACCTTGACATATGGCGGTAAAGTTTCAGGGCGACAGAGAGGTGATTATCATTAGAGATAATTTGTAGCAATCCCACACTTGCTACCTTCAGACGATTAAAGTGTGGAGTAGGAGTCATCCAAGATTATGAACCTACTTGAAGACTAGATAATCTAGTCAGAGTCATAATCAACAATCTACTTAAAGTTTTTTCTCATTTGGTTGAA